TCTTTGTGATTAAGTACAGTTTAATTATACAAAAAATGCAACTATAAAAATTATTTTTTTAATTTTTTTAATGTGTTTCATATCCAAACCTCAATCTCCATCTCTAAAATAAATACACACGTCAAGTATTGATGACCTTTCTAGGATTCTATAGAAGATAGTACTCAATCATGAAAAATGGTAGAGGGAGGGATCATATTTACCTTTTATATATATATATAAATAATTATAATTACTGTTCACAGAAGAATTTTTGTTTTAAATTTTATGATTAAGGTTGTGATTGAATACAATTTAATTATACATAAAACTCAACTACAAAAATTATTTTAATTTTTTTTTTAATATATTCCACACGCAAACCTCAACCTTCATCTCTTAAATAAATACACACGTCAAGTATTGATGGCCTTTCTAGGATTTGATAGAAGATAATACTCAATCATGAAAAATGGTAGAGGGAGGGATCATATTTACCTTTTTTTTTTTATATATATATATATATCTATTTAATACTGAAGTAAACATTAATTGAAATTGAATCGTGCTTTCCTTCACCTCTTGTAATCTTACTTTGTAACATTTTGATTTTTTAAAGATAATGTGTTTTTCACATTAGGATTAGGAATGGAAATAAATTACCATGATGAAATGATTTGTTTTCTTTAGATCATTCTTCATTAATCAAGAAGATGGATCGAGTTCCTCTATATAATTTTAAAACTAATCAAATAATTAATAAAACAATTATATGGGTCAGTTTTATAATTAATATGAATAATGAACAAGATTTATATATTTTTTAATCATTTACATAGCAATCTCGTATTATAGCTCAAGTGGTGTTTATGCCCTGCTTTATTAGGCTACCGCGCCAGATTATTTTTACAACACCGAATATATTATCATATTTAAATATTTTGTATTAGTTTTTTTAGTTTAATATTTTTTTATTTATATCTTAATATAAAATTATTATTAAATTTTATTATTTAGTATCAAGTTAATGATAAATCAAATTTTATTTTTTATTATATAACAAAAAATAAAAAAATAATCTAACCTAATAAAGTTGACAAGCCAGAGTTTGTAAGCCAACTCATGAGTTTGATAGAACAATTAAAGTTAAATTAATCTTTGTTTTTGAAGTTGTTAAATAGATAAAGTTATTTGAAGATAAGTCTTATACAATATAATTTAAAATCTTAGATAATCAAAGGGTCGGATTGAGTGTATTAAAATATGAACAGTTCGTCCCTCTACAGCTGTTTGTTTTTGTTCCTTCGACGGCAGCTAGCTGTCGTGGAGTATACAGAGAGGGATTTTACCGATTCAAATGAATATATTATTATCTTCAGCTAGAGATTGCATAAGGAATGATATCACAAAGGAGCAGCATGAAATTGCATCATGAATATATTAATATTCATTTGCGTTTCTGTCCTTCCAATTGCTCCGAGACGACTATTGTCAGGAGTCTTGATTATCACAATTAAAAAAAAAAAAAAATCTTAAAAGCATCAGAGCTCTTTAATTACCAGCACTTGACGAAATCAAATCTTTTTAATTACAGGAAATACCCCATGTCACATGGCCACCTCAGCCCTGCTGTACCGCTACGTTGCGTTCTACATGCATTGTTGGTCGCCGCTCTCTTTTATTTTTATTTTTATCTTCTCCGCTGACAAATTATAAGCAGGGCCACGGCTGCATCATCGCCGGGGCGTCGCCGTTTTCGTGCGAAGATGGGTAACATAAAGTCATCAATTGGGATATTTCAGCATTTTATATGGGCTAGGAAAGGATTGAAGCGGGTTCAAAAATTAAAAAATAAGCCTGCAATAAGGGAACCAAGGCGCTATGCGATGCATGCAACCCCTGATAGAGTGTAGATTTTCCTTCATTGATTGCTCTCAATTTCATGCGAGGAGAGACTTGGTCATACTTATTAAAGAAAAATGTGCCTTGTCACATAGACATCGACTAGGACATTTCTATTGACTTGTAAATTTATTTTATTTATTTTTTTAAAATAATTTATATATCTAAATGGATAATTGCCACCAACTGTAATCCAAATAACCCATTGTTTAGATCGATCCAGATTTCAAAAGAAATTGAAAGAGGATTAATCTAGTGTAAGTAGGTAAAAAGTTTAGTTAGAACAGAGTCAAAACACATTACTTATTTTTTAAATTTTAAATGGTATTATTTTTATTTTTTTTTGTAAAATTTAAACAAATTAGTTCACAAGATGCATCGAACACTACTGTATGAAGCATAATGTTTAGCCACCGGAAATTGCCGAAGTGCTGTTCAAAGGCGGGGGCAAATAAGGTTGATGGCTGCCTGATAAGTGTGGGCAAATAAACGGCGCTGTTTTGTTGTCTACAAAATAATCCACCGTATCCAAATCAAGACAAATTTAGGAACGTTCCCCCTTTCCCTTTAATTATAAGCAAAAGAGTCCACAACAACAGCAAAGCATCAAGCCAAAAAGCACCCATCCAAATTTAATTAATTATATATATATATTATAAACCCAACCACCACCACCACCACCACCCAAGCGGAAGGCGAGCATCACTTGTTGGGAAAACCTCAAAATAACCCCCCTACTATCAACTTATCCTCACTTTAGTCTCTTATAGTATCCTTTTTCCATTTTTTTTTTAATATTCACGCAGTCCTCAAATTCCGTAGCTGTTTATTAATGAACAATCATACGAGGACAGATTTTATATTTAATCAGGATTTTGATTTTATATTTACTGCCTCACAATCATACGAGGACAGATTTTATATTTACTGCCTTTTACAAAATTAATGTGTTTACCAAGCAAATGCTCATCATATTTTATTGATAAGTTGACATAAAGACTTGAATAGGGGTGCAAATGAGCTAAATAAGCTTACTAAATCTTGTTAAATAAACTATTTTTTAATAGTTATAAATACACTAATAATTTCTTTTTTTCTAATATTTTATTATGTTTAATCGTTTCCCCCTATAGTAAATAAACTTATTATCAAATATTCAACTGCATTTTTTACACCGTAAACGCAGAAACAGGTACAAAATAAACGGACCCTATCTAAGAAGTTAATGAACCTTAAAAAATCTAATCAGTGGATGCTTTTATTTAAATACATAAATGAAAATTGTCTTAAAGTTGGAGGACTGATGTGAGATTTGTCCGAACTTGTTAGTTTCGTAACAGAACAAAAACAAAAACTTGATAACTAAAATTAGTGTCTCAATCAAAACAGTGCTTAACCAAAAAAAGGCACCGTCCTTACCTTTTTATCCAAACAATTAAATTACAGATCCCCCCTCCCCTTCCTTTCTCTATATCTCTCTCATCATATCACCAGAAGAGACAGACTTCAAATTCCGTTACGGGTTTTTTTTTCAAAATCCAAAACCCTAGAGGATTTTAATCGAATGCTCCAAACAATTCAAATCCAACTGTGTTTCCTTCTTAACATTCTCTCTGTTTGGGGAGAGGTATAACAATGGGTATTTGCACCTCAAAGCCCTCCCCAAACTCCACTCTCTCCTCCCCTGTCGCTATACAAGCCAAGGACAACTCTATCCCTACCAATGAGACAGCTAAACCGGATCCAACCACCGCAAGTCTTAACGATCACACCAAGAAAACCACGGTAGAACCCGTTAAAAAATCTCCGTTGTTTCCTTTTTACAGTCCAAGTCCGGCTCACCGCTTTTTTTCCAAGAAGCCTTCGCCGGCGAGATCTCCGGCGAGGAATGCGGCCAGTGCGAACTCAACGCCGAAGAGGTTTTTTAAACGTCCGTTCCCGCCGCCGTCTCCGGCGAAGCATATACGAGCAGTGCTTGCGAGGCGGCATGGATCAGTTAAGCCGAACGAGGCGGCGATACCGGAGGGAAGCGAGGCGGGTGGGGAAGGGTTAGATAAGAGCTTTGGCTTCTCTAAGCATTTTGGAAGCAATTATGAGCTTGGGGATGAAGTAGGGCGAGGACATTTTGGGTATACTTGTCAAGCTAAGTTTAAAAAAGGTGAACTCAAAGGACAACAGGTTGCTGTTAAAGTAATCCCTAAAGCAAAGGTATTCTTGTGATTTTATTTAATTTGATGGGCGATTTTGTGTATTTGAGTGATTTTTGGGTTTTAAGTTTAGTGTTTTTGGTGTCTTAGATCTGTAGGGATATCCGTTTTGTTGGTTTTTATTTTTATTTTTTATGAATGTGTTGTTACTTTATTTTATTTAATGATAGATTTGAACTGTGCATTGGCGGTAGATCTTTAGCTCGTGCTGATATGCTTATTGATGATGAAGTTTAGAGTTTTGAGAAGTTAAATTTTGGGCAAGAAATCACTTGATAAATATGCTTGATGTAACTTGTTTGATCAGGATGTTTCCGTTGTTAAGTTTCAACTACATGTACAATAGTCTGTCTAGCTTGTTTGATCAGGATGTTTCCGTTGTTAATTTTCAACTACGTGGAAAAAGTCTGTCTCTGTATTAATTCCTAGACTAGCTGGATCAGTTGTAATTATTTTATTTGCTGCCTGATGGTATTAGATTTTTGTTTCATTTGTTTATTGTGGTTTTTGTTTTTGTTGTTAGATGACTACAGCAATTGCCATTGAGGATGTGAGAAGGGAGGTTAACATACTGAGAGCATTGAACGGGCATAACAATTTAGTACAGTTTTATGATGCCTATGAAGACCATGATAATGTCTATATAGTAATGGAGTAAGTACTGATTGTTGTGCCTTTTCTTCTTTCATAAACTAGATTCTTTTCATGGTTTTTTGTGATAGAGATTGTAATCTTTTGAATTTCATTTTTTGTGGATAATACTTTGCATCCATTTTAATGGGTTGCTGTGAATTATCGTGCATTCTTCAGGTTATGTGAAGGAGGAGAACTCTTGGATAGAATTCTTGCAAGGTATCATTTATAGTAGCCATGCCAGTATTCAGTTAATTTATATCTAATTGATGGACAAAAGAAGTGGAATTTAATGAAGGAGAAAGCTGGTCAGCTGCTCATGACTAATCAATTGATGCTCTTTTCTTGTAGGGGTGGAAAATATGCAGAAGACGACGCAAAGGCTGTCGTGATACAGATATTAAATGTTGTTGCATTTTTCCATCTTCAGGGTGTGGTACACCGGGATCTTAAACCTGAGGTGAGATACAGTCTAGCTTTGTGTTATAAATAAGCATAGCCAATTAGAATTCTGCCCTGCGACTTCTGTTGAGAGTTGTGTTCATGGGGATTGTTATTACCGTGGGCGGCCTCATTGCTGGGAATTTTGAAAGACTATTTCTTTTTTATTCTTTAAATTGCTCTTCCATTGGCTTTTAGTTAGGATTGATAGCGCTCTGAGGCAGAGTATGAACTCGAGCACCTGAACCTGCTTGCATAATAAAGACCAATGTTTCATTTTTTAATCAATCTGCTATAGCATTACATTGCTGTATATGAGATAGCTTCAGACTAGTAGGGAGTCTTAGTTGTGCTGCGTTTTTTTTTTTGGGAGTTATAAGTGGAAGATAACTGAGTCTTTTGGGAGAGAATTTTTTGTAATTTTCTAGGCATCAAACTTCTTCATGTTTGGTTTCACATGCATTAAGGTTTTAATTTAACCTGAATGCAACTTGATGAAAGTAATTAAGATGAGGGTAGTGAGTGTGATAATTAGCATTCCCTTATTATTAAGATGCGCCATGTTAGAGGATTTCCTGGAATTTGAATTGAAAAGACAGAGAAAAAAAAAAAACCCTTCAAGAAGAATAAGAAACAGACCCAATTTGTGTTCTCATTTTTTGCTAATTTATGGTTCATCACTTTTGGGTGGTAAATTGTCTGCCTATTTTATCACTGCATGCAAAACAGAGTGTTGTTATTCTTGTATTCTTACCTATTTGTAGCTGATTGCTGGATCAGAATTTCTTGTTCAAATCAAAGGATGAAAACTCCCAGTTGAAGGCCATAGATTTTGGTTTGTCAGATTTTGTAAAGCCAGGTTTGTACTTGCTCTTTATTCTGAGATGTAGTTGGCTGCTTTGTTTTCAATAGCTCCATGAATTCACTAATGGTTTCTGAAATAAATTTTTATTTGCAGATGAAAGGTTGAACGACATTGTTGGTAGCGCGTACTATGTAGCACCAGAAGTTCTACATAGATCTTATGGTACAGAGGCTGATGTCTGGAGTATTGGTGTGATTGCATATATTTTGTTGTGTGGAAGTCGGCCATTTTGGGCCAGGACTGAGTCTGGGATCTTCCACGCTGTTCTAAAAGCTGATCCAAGTTTTGATGAGACTCCTTGGCCTTCTCTTTCTCCCGAGTCAAAGGACTTTGTCAAACAACTGTTAAATAAAGATCCACGAAAAAGATTGACTGCTGCCCAAGCACTAAGTAAATGCCTTGACTGCTGTTAAAAAATTCCCTGTTGGCTTTGCTGGAATCTGAATTGATATTTACTATTTCTTGCTGCAGGTCATCCCTGGATTAAAAATTCTAATGATCTTAAAGTGCCTCTGGATATACACATTTTCAAACTCATGAAGGCTTATATGCGATCAACATCTCTTCGAAAAGCTGCTTTAAGGGTTTGTAATGCTATTTATATATGGGATTATTATGCAATGTGCTTTAATGCTGTCTTCTTGAATGTGAAGCATAACTTTTCATTTAAAGCTCCACGTATAATATCTCATCATATTTTTTTATGCTGCTTCCATCTACTTATGTTGAGTGGCTGGGAAGGTGTCATTGTGGGTTAATGCAGGCAATATCATCCTCACTTGATAATTCATGCTGCCATTTTTATATCATATTTTAATTTGAAATTGTATACATTGCTGAGAAAGAGAGAGAGTTGTTTGATACATCTTGATTTTGCTATTGATGAACCATTATTCTCAATTAAAAGGACTGTCAATGAGATATGCTTAGCTTTGCATGGCCAAGATTAATGATTTTAATGGGCTCCATAAATGCAGTTTAGAAATTATTTTTTCAAGTTGTCATTGAACAGTCATGTAATATTTCTTGCAATTGGTTATTATTAAGCAATTTCAGGGCTATAATTAATCAAATTACTCGAGGGTTTTTGGGTGTGCCTTCATCCTTGATGGCTATATCCTAATGATTTTATATTGAGCTTTGTTGTTGGCATTTTGGCAGGCTCTATCTAAAACGTTGACTGTGGATGAGCTGTTTTATTTGAAGGAGCAGTTTGCGCTCTTAGAACCAAACAAAAATGATGCAATAAGCTTAGAAAATATCAAAGCGGTTGGTTGCTTTTTGAGTGCCATAGTTTCAGTTTCTTGTTGACTCATTTTGTTGTTAGTAATGCTAATACTTTTTTTTTTTTCAATTGTCAGGCCTTGATGAAAAATGGTACAGATGCAATGAAGGACTCACACATTCCTGATTTTATAGCATCAGTAGGTGTTTCCACCTGTATTGTCCTTTTTGGTTTCTAATCCTCATTTCTAACTGGTGCGTGCTTTTGTCTATTGCAGCTCAATGCACTTCAATACAGAAGGATGGATTTTGAGGAATTTTGTGCGGCTGCATTAAGTGTCCATCAGCTAGAGGCCCTTGATCTATGGGAGCAACGTGCCCGTTCCGCTTATGAACTGTTTGAGAAGGATGGGAACAGGGCCATTGTCATCGAGGAGCTTGCATCGGTATGTCTGTCTCTCATTCTCCAGCCCTGCAAGGAACTCTTTGCAGAGAGGCGTCTTGTTAGTTATATACTTGATAGCATTAATTTGCCTGGACAAATTCTGCATCTTAAATGTGACTAACAGAATATGGCATGTCAAAAAGCAGAGGCTAATCAATCTCGTTTTTCAGGAACTTGGCCTTGGCCCTTCTGTTCCTCTTCATGCTGTTCTACATGATTGGATTCGGCACACCGATGGGAAGTTGAGTTTCCTTGGCTTTGTCAAATTGTTGCGTGGGGCATCTAGCAGGATTCTTGCCAAAGCTCAGTAGAAGTTTTGAAGCTGATTTAGATGCTCCAAGAGGGAGGTGGCTGTACCCTGAAGCAAGCGAATTAAAAAGAAAAAGGGTGAGAGGCACCAAAAATACCAATCCCAGAACTGGATATAAAGGTATATTCGCCCTCCAATTTATGGGACGGGAGAGATTAAAGTTGATATCACTTTATTTTTGCGGCACAACCTTGTATACTAATAGAATGGGAATGCTTGTGCTAGTTTAGCCAAATGTAGCATGCGCATTCAAAATCTCCACTGTAAAGCTGTAGTTAAGAATTTAGTTGCAGGTGAATATTTCTTGAATTTGTTAGGAGATACTTGATGTTCTGACATTTTGGACTAGCCTCTGTTCATGATTGAATTGTATCATTTCTACGTTCATGCTTTCTAGTTTATTTGTGCAAATGCCACCGCCGATGTTTAACGGAAGGCTAAAATCCACGGAATCGCCGCCTTGAATTCCCCGAGCAACAAAGCATGGGGGAGATGGACGTGCAAGACATTGAGAATATCATTGCGGAAAAGATAATTTTAACATTGCCGGAAGCTAATATTAATTATCAGTTAAAAAATAGTATTTCGATTATTAATTAAAAAAAACTTAAAATTAGTTTGATAATATTTTACTCCTTTTTTTATCTGTTTAAACTCGAAAAAATTGAAGAAGATTTCGTTTATTGATTTTTTTAACCTAAAAACCTCTGCTGAAATGTTTCAAAACCAAACAAAATGGCTTGGAAAATTTGTGATTATGATAATTGATTTTTGATTTTTTTTTTTGGTGGTAAGAAACTCAAAAAAAATAAATTTCTATTTTTATTAAAAACAAAAAGACAACTGCTAAACGCGCCTTAATATTGTAAAAATAATAATGGGCTGGGCCGTTCATTTGAGTGACGTGTCGTCGAATTCCGTGACGGTCGTTTCTTATTTTTTAAAAACCCGATGGTTCCCAGAATTCAAATGTCATTGCGGCAAAGAATTCACTCTTAGACATGGCGCCTGACAGCGACAGGAAGCGCAAACGCCGTGTCGTTTGCCTATCTTCTAGTTCATCATCAGAAGAAAGCAGCGACGATGATGAAGTTGAAGAAATCAGGTCCTATTTTCACTATCAATTATTCATTTACTATCTATAAATAATTGGCGCTATTTCTCATTGAATTCCTCCTTTTTTTTTCGGTGTCCTTTATTATGTAAAGTGGGGATGAAAGCAATTACAGCGACGAAGAGGAGGACGGAGGCGAGGAGGAGGAGTCAGTCTGCGAAAGAGTCATTTCTCTTCTTAAAGGTGGATTTCAATTGATTTTAGTTACGAATCAAAATTGCAAGTGATAATTACACCAACTCTATTGAATGAGACTCAAATGGAAATGTAAAAAAATGTTTGTTTTGGTGTTGGATTAGAGAGTTTTTTAATTTTTTTCTTTGTAATTTTTATATGGTGCAGAAGGGAATGAATTAGAGGGTTTATATTTAAAGCATTGTAAAGCCTATTTACGCCATTATGGACTTAGGCTAGCTGGAACCAAGGCAGTCTGTATTCAGAGAATTAAGGAGCATTGGAGGTAATTAACTCATCTCCTCCTCTAAAATGCTCGTGTTAGGTTTAACTAGGTATAATGCCGTAGTGTATTTTTTATTCAGGTTAAAGGATGAAAATGGTGAACTTTATCCAAGGTCGTCGTTTTTAATAAATTGTAGAGGTATATATATATATATATTTTGTAGTGTTTGTGTATGCACCTTTTGTTTCTGTGGAGGTAATTTGAAGTTTGTTACTTGAATCAGGTGATGTCTGTAAAGGAGATGTTGTCATGTTTGTGCAGAAAGTTTATTCGAAGTACTCAGCTGTCCCATTTCCTTTTATGCCATATACTCTCACATTATAATTTTTTATTTTGGATCGTGAATTTTCTATTGCTTTGTTGATCAAGGTTTTGGTGTTAAATAGATTTAACAAAGTGACAAGACATGGGAAGATTCTTGGGAGGAGAACCGTAGCAGGCAGGGTTGTGAAGGAAAGCTATGGTTCTGCCAAACAACAGCATACGTTTACGGTAAGTCTGAGTTCTCTGGTGAAAAAACTTAAGTTGATTTGGGTGCCACATGACCTCTGTCTGGGTACCCTAGGGATCCATAGTTGCTGTGATTATCAAATATTGATCTACCCTTGTGGGCACATGATATTTGCCTTCTACTCTTTATTAATTGGTTTTCATTGCAAAGTCTAGTTTAGTTACTGGTGACTTATCTTTTTTATTGATAATTGCTTACAAGGTTGAAGTGCTGTGGAGTAAAGGAGTTAAGAAACTGCCTCCACTTTCTCCTCTGCTTGTGAAAGGCCGGAATCTCTACAAATTGAGAACTTTCAGACAAGTAGGTGGCCATATGATAAGACAAGAAGTTTCTCTAGTATTGATTTTCTAATGTGTCGGCATTCTTATTTCTTCTTCGTCCATATGGGTGTATAGTGTTGGATTAATGAAGCGGAAAGACAGAAAGTCCTTGCTGAAAAGCACAAACGAGGTACAGCGGCAAGACTTATGAGAACAATGAAGAAATCTACGATGGCATGGTCTGGAAATGGAGGTATGCATAGAGTTTGTAAATGAATTTTCATTCTTCTAAAGCATCTATGCCACATGTCATTGACAATGTTGACAGATGCAAAGTGTCATAGACGGGCCCATCACAGAAGTCCATCTCAAATGAGAAAGATGACTGAACTAGAAAAGAGGAAGCGTATTGATGGATGTAGAAGAGACACATTGCAGCTACTCGAAACATTTAAAATTCATCACCAGCAGGCCCGGGCATCACTGGATGTGAACAGAAATATGAACTTACACGGATCTAAAAGTTTTTGGAAACATCGAAAACGAGGAAACATCAATGTGGATATGGGCCCAACTCTTCAGGCGTATGCATGTACTACCCAATGCATATCACAAATAGAACCTCATCAAAGGAGTGTGCCATGCCATTCCTCTCGACATGACACAGACTCCTCTTCAACTGTGATGGCATTGCCTACTTGGAGGCCCTATGCCGATACAATTGTGATGCATGCACAATATCAGGGTTTGAGTCAAAACAGTAGAACCAATTCTGACTACGCAAACTTTTAGCTAGAAGTTTGAAAGGAGGAGTTTTCATCGTTGAGAAGTCATCATGTGGGATATGAAAGCTGAGTTGGCCAGAAGTAACCAAGTTTTGCTCCGGTTAGTAACTTTCCCACCTGGTTGATACATCTTAGTCACACATTTGATATATGAAACTACAATTGCATTCATCCGTCAAGGGCTTACCAGGTTAAGAAAAGACAGAATAGCAGGGCATGGATTTCGTTGATCATGTATCAGTGATATATGTGATGATTGTGAAATGAGATAAATGGCGTGAAGGAAACAACCACAGCTTTGTGTTGATGGCTTGACCTATTCTCATTCAAAAACAAATAGCATATTCCTTTCCTGCAAACTGCGAGAGCTATCCATGAGATTGCATACATCATGCATTCATGAGGTAACTTTTGCCGTTGCCTATGAACCCAAAGCTTGATTCCATGGTCTGTCAGAGTTCTAAGCCTGGGAATTGGTGCCAGCTATGGTAGTTAACCACGCCCCTTTTGCGCAAACATTTTGTTCAACGTCATCTGGTGAAGTGAACACTTTTCTTTTATAACAAGAAGATACACATTCCTTTTTTCGCCTTAGTTGGATGAGGCATGCAAATGCGTCCAAATCTCTCGTCGGTCGTGAAGTTATGAAACTTCATTCCCTTTTTTATTCCTAGAATTCGCAAAGGAAATTTGTACATTTTAAGCTTTAACGATTCTTATCACATAGAGCCGCTATCGTCCATGTTGGTTGGAATTGATACAGTCTAGTGTGCTTCAAAGGGATTCTTGATAGAATTCAATCACGCAGCAAAAATTGTGTGGAGGAGCAATGCTATCTGAACCCTCACACATTTTGCTATTATCGTTTGAGAATTATATACTGAACCGTAATCCTTCTAAGAATTAGACCAAGAGCCATGCAACTTGTAGGGCTCGTTATTGACCGACGTAGTTGTCTTCCTAATTGCAACTGTGCTCTTAGAATTAAAGTTATTTAAAGAGATAAAAGAGAGATTCCTGATCAACCATCAAGAGGGAAGGGTCTCTGTCGTAACCAAACCGCGAAATTTGTCGAGTAGAGTCGTGGTAGGCTGCGTTATTGAAACTTTTCGGGCAAATTCGAGTGATATCGAATGATTGGAGTGGGAGCCATGCCTGCATCATTCAAGTATTGTGGGCATGACACATCACACATCATAAACAATACAAGGGCGGAGGGCCCCTTGTACCACCAAAATGACGGCCCTCCAAGGAAATATTTCCACCGGCACCTTACATGTGAACACTTTGACTAGAAGCTCCACTGCTTATCCAGTGTCTTTACACTAGGTGAAACCTTGCCCTAATATTATTCCCTCTCATTTTATCTGGTTCTAGTTGGTTGATGGGAACGAGACCGTTTCTATTGTCTTGTTGTGATGAGTGGACTTTGGAGCCTGTATGTGGGAAGTAAATGGCATCCTCTGTCGCCATCTCTATTTTCACAGGAAATGATTTTTAACTTCCCTTTTATGATTAATTTTCGCTAAATAGAGTGTATATATTCTATTAAAAACAATGAATATCCTACACATATCAAACAAAATCGATCAAGATATTATTGACCCGTCCACAACCCCGTTTTCACAGGAGCTAAATTCCACCATACAGATTCGAATAAACATAGGGGAACCTTTATAGAGAGGCATGCAATTGTCATTCCTAGGTCATACACAAGTACATGAGGCTTGAGTGTCCTAAATCAGGACACGAAGTCACTCGAATATCCATTCAACCTCTGTGCCCCTCCTGCCTCCCTCAGCCCCAGCTTGGTTCTCCTGTGGGGTCTTGACGTGACACTAGTTGCACACTAAAAATAAAAGATAATCTTACTGTATAGAAAAGAAAATTAAGCTTTCAATATAGCATGATAATCACCAAAACCAGTTCTTTCTTCACACATGAAGAGAATATATGTACACGCAACTCAAGCCCCGAAGTTGCTAAAGTGGAAGGGTTTCAAAACCCAAAAAGAGGCAGTAACTTTGAACACAGTCCAGTTCTGCCCACTTGGAGAGACTCCGGGACTCTCTACGAGGATGCATCCTCCAAGAGGATTCAGAAAGAGACCGTGAACCTATCATCACATGACCAAGGGATAAAACAGCGTAGCCTTATGAATAGGAGAAGAACCATAAACAACAATGATAACCAACCATAACGAGAGAAAGCATAGCAGATCAAAGAAACAGATCACGATTGTGATAACGACGATCATAGAATGATAGAAGGGAAATCCTGG